GACAGCAATTGAATTATAGAAAAATGTTGTTTTGTGTTTCATACAATGCAAGATCGTACCCTATGATACCATTCGAATGTAGTAGTGTCTTGACTGCCTCCGTTTGGAGGGCCACCTTTCGGTGCTGGTGTAGGCCTTTTATGACAGCTTGCCGTAAACCATCGAGGCTCTCGACCATGTCAGCGTATGCCTCATCAGCGGCGGCCGCAAAATCAGGCGCATCAATCCCGCTACTCAGCGCCTTAGTGAACTTGGCGAGCGCGAGATCCTTCAGCTCATCCACTGCGTACACCTCTGCTAGCTTATAAACGAGTAATTCTAGAGTTCAACTGCAATATCGCCAATAGTTGGCCTGTAAATTCCTCTGTGCCTTGCTCAGTACCCTCTCGTATCGTCTGATGGGTAAAGAGGGCTTATGAAAGCACGACAGCGTTCTGAAGGTTCCAATTTTCCGGACGACTGATGTTCTCAAGACGTCTGTGGCCAGTGCAAAACGTGGTGCATCTGATGGTCCCTCTCTTCCTAAAAAGGAGGAAATGTTCCTCTCTGAATTTCAGTGCACTCATTGTGAGCGTCCCATCTTAGGCGTCCCATCTTAGGCATCCGTGTGCCAGCCAATGCCTGTGTCCCGCGCGTTACCTTTGCGATTTTCAGGCATCAACTTCCACACTACTGACCGCCTTCCTCTTCCCCTTCGTTGCGCACACCGCCTGCCATATCGGGAACATTCAACAACTCTTGCACTGAGTATTCACCGCTTTCATAGCCATCCTCAGTGAGCTTTCACTGCCTGCCTTTGCCGGTTAAAAGAGCTCCCGCCCATGCTCCCTCGGAACTTGGAGAATTATGTGATGGATGAATAGGAAGACAGCAACGCGGCCGATTATGCAGCCGCAAGACCAAGGAGACCTGTGACATACAAGAGATTGTGGCACGACCCGCAGTGCGAGGGACACATTAGGTGACATGACTGGATCAGAAGAGATCGGACTGATCCAAACTGAACGGGAGGAGGTCAAATAGAATCGGTATGACCCTAGAGGTTTTTCTTAGATTTAGGTAGTCTAAGCAATAGGTTGACTTTGGGAGTGACTAACGTGACTTACGCTACGATACTGTTCAAGCATATAGTCTTACATTCGACCTGACTCTCTTCCCAAAGACGCGTATCCGTGGCCCGGCACCCCACCGCCTACTCTTTATAGACATGATGGCCCTTGAGTGTCCACCGCCTTCTTTACTCTCTTTGAGGAGGTGGCATTAACAACCACACCGCCTACAGACTCTCTGCTTCACCGCCTGCTCTCTGTACTACATCGCTGTATTCACTGCCTGCCATTTTTAATGTCGTTTTGGGAGCCGTCAGCCACCGTTGTGTTACTGCCTTCCCTAATGGTCCACAGGCGTCCTTCATTCCTCCACTTAAGTCCCGCGTCGTCTTTCACTGCTTATCACTTTGAATCGTTCTCGCTTCCACTGTATTACGTTCTGTAGCGCTTGCGTAGTATCGTTGTATTATTGCCTCACTGTATTTACCCACTGTCTGTCACTTTAGGAGCTTAAGGCATTATTACTCTATCGCCTTCCTCTCCTAGTCTATAGTCTCTTATTTAATCCCACTACTTACTGCTTATACGTAAGAGTGTCTATATTTATCACTCACCGCCTACTATACTAAGCTATGAGTCCTTTACTATTACAGCCTACCCTTTTCGTATTACCTAGCTCTATTTCCTTACCTACTAGTCCTCTAATTGCACCTGTGGTACGTGGCTAAAATGGCTGTTATATATAAAGCTAGTATTGTTTGGTGTATAATTAGATTCATCCTATTAATTACACTATAAAAAAAACCTTGGCACACTAGCCTAAGGGATCTTTTGCTTAGCGCGATGGCCTGTAAACACCCACTAATAGCCGCTTATTTGTAGCTGTTGCAGCGCACGCTAAATCCGAAAGTTCGTGTGGGAGCTAAAGCTGTTTTTGCACTAAAGAATATTTAGCTTCTTCTTTTTTTTTTGGGACCTACCCTTCCCACGCATCTTAACATTCTGCCTGCTAGGCTGGTAAAATACTAATGGCAGGCCTCTCCGGTGCCACCGTTCAGCTTCATTCAAGACAGCAATGCCCTAGTGTAGTTGACGAGGAAAGACAAGTCAGCCCACTCGGTAGAAATAGGCCAGACCCAGAAATGGAACTAAATATGCCAGCCAGAAATGGAAAGCGCAGACATAAGTGGAAGAGTAGCTTATCCCACCTAATCTTTTAAGGAAGTGCTAGATCTAGCCTTTAATTAGTGTACTAAAGTTTAATCCTTAAAGTGTCCGTTTCTGCCGTCTGTTATTGATATTTTAACGGTGGCATAATCTAGTGTAACGATTTCTAGTGAGTTACTAGTGGCGTCTGACAGTTTCTCTCACGCCGAGCTTATCCACTTTTTCACTAACCCTTTTACTACTTTCTACTGAATAAAATATTATACTATAGGTATAACACTAATATCTAACTGCCTAATTTATTACTCGTGGTTTCTCGACTAACTGTCACTTACTGATTTGTTCATTCTAATTAGTCCTATACTCGGACTATAACATCCATTATGGATGGTTAGGCAGCTGCGCTCGATATCTGTAACTAACTGTTTTCTAAAAGAGTATAAAAAAAGGAAAGAAAGCATCTATGTGATGGATTTATTTCTGTGTATGGACTCTATTGCATCTCTATGTTGGTTCGAACATCGTCGGCCGTTTTCGTAATGTAGTTTCCGTCCGTTCGTGGAGCTGAGGAAGAAGCTGGCGCTAAAGTCCTACGAGGTAAGGGTGAAAGCTTCTTATAGCGTACGGTTATACTTATTCGATGATTTCGCCTCTACTCTACTATTTGGTTACTATAATTCTAAGCATTTAGCTCTTGTATCCATCTTACTTGAGACGACACACACAATGCAGTAAGTTGCCTAACATATACGGCTTATACAACTAGTAGTTAACTAGTTTAACTAGGCGAAGTTAACTTCTTAGTCTACCCTAGTTGTGTTTAGTACCCTAAAGGCTTCTTATCCGCGCAGTTGCTTATGGAATCTTATGAAATGGTAATCGGTTGAATAGTCTAGTATCGTTCTGATCCTAACGTGCTCTTCTAGCTCTACTATGAGCTAAAACGTCTCTATTATAGACATTCTCTTAGCTGTAATTGTGGAAAGTGCTAGGCTTTCTAGTAGAAATAAACGTAAAATTTAATCGGCCTTACCTACTAATGGAGCTATAAAATAGACCACTATAAACACGATGCGGGTGAGAAATTTCGCCTTAGTGTGGCCTAGTAGTAGGTCTTTATAGTGATTAATAATATTATCTATAGAATCGTTAGTATTTTTTTATAAATGAAGTTTTTTAATCCATACTAGGAGGTTGCTTATGACCTAACCCTCTTTTTCCTCTAGCAGATAGAGTCGCCTTAATTTGCTTGAGGGGTTGGCCATAAGCGAGGATACAGTCTGCCTAAACCTACTCCCTCTTGCCGCATAAAGTATAGTATATTTCACCTTATGTCGGGCCGCAAAATTTGAAAGGCGTCGCGCGAGTTCCGGTAGTTCTATAAACGGCAGCTGTTCCACGCAGTATAAAAGAAAGTCTATAAAATTCCATTGGTTTATTAATACACAGCCTAAAAAGAAAAGGCCACTGGTTCTTATCTACTAGTTCCTATAAGGGCGAGATTCTATAAAAGGTGTTTTATATATAGTTATTTAAAACTTAATAAGTAAAATGCTATTTATGACTGTACAGTTAAAGCCGCTTCTGACTAAGTTTGCTGAGTATGTGACAGCCACTACTAGTAATGCTACTACTAAGAAGTCTACTTTTCCGCGCTAATTCTAGAGTTAAATGGATGACTATAAGATCAGCTAATTTCGGGTTCCGTTTAGTATATAACCAAGCCCGGCTATAGTAAACCTCCTTAGGAATGCACTATTTAATGTATAAGATGCGAGCTAGTAGTTTATGTATCACCTTTAGCCTTAGTGCTCTTATTATAGCCTCCTAAACGACTACTGTCTCGTCCATAACTATTAGGCGGTGGTAGCCACTAGAAAGTTAAATGGTTCTAGATCTTAAGGTTATATATAGAAAAGATGTGATTAAACTATTCTCGTCGTAGAATACTTAGGTGGTTAATGTTAACTATATCTATCCGGACCTTGTATATAGTGTGCTGTATTAAACCCCGCTACTGATAGCCGCCGTAGCTGCCTCTATTTCGTAGTCGCCTAACTCCACTGACCCGTTTACGACTACTATGTCTCTTAAAATTCCAGAATACGCCCGAATGAAGGACTTAGAAACTAATCCCGCGACTGCGACTTCTTCTGATGCAAGGTCGCCGTTAACTGGAACTTCCACGGAGTCCTCACCCCCACATTCAACGTCTAGCTTGACCCTGCCCGGTCGGGCCCCGCTATGCCTGCTGATGAATTGACAATTTTCTGCTGCCCACCACCCATGAGCAGTAGCTTTCCAACCCCACCCATAAGCAGAAGCTTTCTACCCCTATGCCCGCTGAATTGACATGAGAACTTCTGCTGCCCACCCCTGCCGTACGCCGTGAGCGGCTTTGCGGGGGTTTGCACCTTCAGCGGTATCAAAGGAAGCGATGATGCTATCGCGCCGGCAGAACATTGGTGACAGTCAGCTGCTATACCAATGGGAAACTTGGGGAATAGCCCTTACGCTAGCTAGCCATGTATACTAAACGAAACAAATCGAGATGTGGACAGTTGGTAGGGGAAGGCAGCTGCAAGACGATCAGTAAGAACACGAACAAGTATGACGAGATGATGGAAGACAACGAGCATTGCATTTAGGAATAGCTAGTAAGCCCTATTGGCTGGGAGTCACCAGGTGTAACAGACAATGAATATTGTACGTTGCATAGGCCTATATTTCATGGTACTCCCTCTTTCTTCAGTGGTGCCAAGCCACGTTATAGGCTAGCTTGCGTCAACTTCGGGTCACGCTATTGAGGCCACCACCAACTCCATCCCCAAACTCGAGCCGCTTCAACCGCCACGGATCGCCCTCCTGCCCACAGAGGCTCTCCACTTCCTCGAGGCTCACTTCTCTCTCCACATCCATCCTCACCACGCTCCCACCACCATCGCGTACAAATGTCCGCATCACGTCCGCCGCAGTACGCAGCAGCGCGTCGTTGGCGGTCACCACCACCGCTTGGTTGAGGCTCTTGCCTGCCGCCGCCGCGAAGCAGATGCCCGGCACAAAGGGCAGCGTCTCTGCGTCGCTGCCGCCTTGCGCAATGGCCGGCACAACGGCCCACAGCGCTTCCCGCAGCACTGTGAGAAAGGACCAGCTCTGGTTGTGCATGATGAAAAAGTCAAAACAGAGACCGCGCTTCTCGTGCTGGACCGCTTCAGCAACCTCACGCACCAGGCCCGCGGGCGGCAAACTCGCGATGCGCGCTCTAGCCACGCCCACCCCGTCCTTGCCCCCTCGTTGCAGGCGCGATCGGCTGTCTGTGTGGCGCCGCGAGACGCCCTCAACCAAGGTGTCTTGCACGGCCTCTGGTGACCACGGTACGCGAGCGCCGGGATGTTTGATGCGGTGGTTGACGGCCAGTGACAAATAGCCAATAGGCATGAGGTTACGTCGGTTGTCGCTGTGAACCTTGAAGGTTGGCTGCTTACCCTTGCCTTTGCGCCGCGACGACGCCGCCGCCCAGTGCGTCACCGACGTGCCAATGCTCAGGGCGTAGTTGGAAAAATACGCCTCCTTAGTCGTTGGGGGATCGCCGACAAAAAACGAGGCATCGCCCTGGAGCGTCCACAGCTCCTGTAGGTCGTCCCAGGTGCAGTGCTCGGGGAGCAAGCGCTCGTTGCGGAGCGCGTGGTAGAGCTGCACCACACCGAGCAAAGCACCCGGCGTCGCCGCGTAAGAAAGTCCCTCCGTCTGGCGCGTGGAGCGCATGTGGTGCACCAGTAGCCCACAGTACATGGGATTACGCCGCAGGAACTTGAACGGTGCGGTGTGGGCCTGGGGCAGCAGCTCGGCGCTGACGGCCATGCCGCGGGCCGCCCAAATCGGGTCCGTGTCCCAGAGCCCAGCGGCGCGCATGACGGTTACGCGATGCGGGTCCGAAGCCGGCACAGTGAGCATCGCATGTTTGATCTCGCGAACTTCTGCTTGCATCTCGCCCAGGCTGTCGCAGTCCGGGACAAAGTCGCGCAGAATGTCGACGTAGATCTGCAGCGCAAAAGCAAGCCAAAGCTTGGCCCTCCTCTTCCCATCGTCCATGACGTAGGCCAGCCCACGCGTCAGCTCATCCACAACCGACAGGCGGCCTAGCTTAAGCACCAGGAAGCTCAGGTCCGGCATCAGCTCGAGCACCGCCGTCATGTCCTGCGTCCACTGTTGGCGCTTCGTCTGCGCCTTACCGCCCAGCGCCTCGTCATACCAGCCAAACTTGCCGCTGTAGGTCTGCAGGCAGGTCTCTTGGCGGTCTACCGATGCGGTGTAGCTCGCCAGCAGCGTCAGCATGTTGATCAGGCACACGTCGGCAATGTCGTATGCGGCTAGGTTGTATGGATCGTGCGACATCTCCTTGTCCAGCTTATCGATGCCCGAGGCTTCACACAGAGAATGAAAATATGCTTCCGTGACGATATGCACACCATCAGACTTGTCGAAAAGTGCCTTCATCTCGTCTTCCATGCTGCGCGCCATCTCGATGGCCGCATTGGTGGCGACGGACGCGGCGGCAAGATCAAGGCGCCCAGACGCGTGCTCTGTCCACAGTGCACGAATCTCGGCACGGATGTCGGCATAGTCATTGAGTAGCGTAGTAAGGGCGAAGATCATGTCGAGGACAGAGTCGCCCTGCTCGGCTACAAACGTCGTCCTTACTGGGGCAGGTCGAATCGCGTCCGAGTCATCTTCCAATCTGTTTGACGGATGATAGACTCTAAGCGCGGAGAAAATGTTACTGACAATGGTGTCGTTGGTCGCCGAAGACCTTGCTCGACGGTTGCTCCGCTCGTCTCGGTCATCTTGGCCCGTCACTGTCGCGTTGATTGTGGCCGTCGTGGCATGTGCCGCCGGCGACAGGATCTGCCAGACCTTTTCAAGCTGCTCGACGAAAAATGAATGCGTCACTTCAGATGCAACGGTGATCTTGACGCCTGCCGAACCAAGGCGTTCCGCAAAACTCTTGCGCACGGAAATGACACGGCGCAGAGCGTTGGTGAAGAAGCTCGGGACGAGGACGGTGCTGCCAAGGCCGGCAATGTAGACTGCCAAGGCCTCGAAATCACGCACCTTTATGATGTACTTTGTCTTGTTCTCTGCAGTCATGCCGAGGGTTGCTACGGGCATGGTTGCCTTTGCCTGCTTCCGCGCCTTCCCCTTCAGTCTGCCTCCTGTGGCGGCAGGATACGCGGCCGATGCGCCACCGACACGGTAACCGTGCTGCTGGGCCGTGGTAGCGAGCCATGAGGCCACAACGTCGGTGTCAGCCTTGTAGTTGCGGTAGATGCCCTTGAGTGATGACGGTGGCATGTTGGAGACTACAGTTCAGTCTAGTTGGTATCGAGTTGGGCAGAGAAGGGTTGATTTGCTTGGGGCCTGATCGGTACTCGTGGGCAATTGTGGGACCGGGTTCAACGGTCCAGGTTCAACGGGTAAGATCAGCGCAGTCCCGGCTGTACTTGGGACTGCGTAAAGACAATGTGTTCTCCACGCCATCCTTTTTTATTGGCAACTCAAGATCCCATTGCTCTATCCTGCAGCGACACAACCGCGGCAACGCATCGCCGCTGTGATGAGCTGTACAAGAGTCATCAGGCTACGAACCTTCTGACTAATAAAGGAAATTTTGATCAAGGATGTGTGGATTCGAGTAGGGACAAAGAATTTTTCTGAAACATCGTTATAGGTGGCTTTGGTGGATTGTAGTTACCTGATGGGGTCATCATAACCGCTATTTCTGGCTCTAGGGAGCAGCCAAACGACACGGGCGAAAATTATGGTTGACCCGCACACCCATTACAGTGGGTTCAATAGGTACAAAAGATGGGCTAGTTTTAGATTTGCATCCACATTTGACCGCCTAAAAGGGAAAACAGGTTGTCAAATCCGTTTGTTACCTACTAGTGTTGATGCTAAATTCATTACTGATGATGGAGTGTCCAGACTTCGTACCCGGGTACAAGAAGTAAACACAGATTTCTCAGATTACATGCGCGATCATGGGCAGAGGAGAAAAGTCAGATCGCATGCGCGGTCCTCCAAGTCAGATCACGGGTCAATCGACGAAACAGCCGAGCTCATTGTGAGTAAAGCAGAAACGATGTAATGGGTGAAAGATGTATGTATTTTCTATGTTCCAGATGTAATCGGCTCTTACAAATGCGAGTAGGCCTACCGTCGGAGTAGAGGTCGTGAACTACCGGGTAACAATAATTCTGCCCTTCTCTCGGAGCTCTTTCACGAGCAATCACGCCGATAGAGAACCATTGCGAAAGGTCATGCCCAAAAGATCATGACAATAGCATTGCAATGGGTCGAACTCGCAGTCAAACGGCTCATCCCCGAGGAGAAATTGCGGGGCGAGATCCGGTCGATTCTGCAGGATTCGCTCGAGAATGGTGAGGCTGAGGCGTTGGCCGAGCTTCACAAGCTCATCGATGATGAGCAAGGCGGCTCTATAACTTACAATCACTATTACACTGATAATGTTCAGAAATCGAGACTGGATGTTCAGAAGGTGGCGATGCGTTCCGCCGTGAATGAAGGGACAAACATGAGTGGGGGGGGGGGCAAACTTCAGAGCGTGCTCTAGCGGAAAAAGGAGGCAGAGAGCGCTTGCTTCTTCTCCAACAGAAACAACTGCTTGAACATCAGATTCAAGAGGCAGACCTGGGCCTCGTAGCGCAAATAGTGTTCATTCGTGCTCAGGAAAGACAGATCAGGACACTGGAGGCTACTGCGATGACTCAAGGCGACGTATTTCAAACTGGTGCCGCAGAAGTTCTCGCAGTGATGCAGCAGCATCACCCAGGCAGCTTGGCTGATGCGGAGCGATATCATGGTCTTTCTTATGTGGATAGGTAGTGTTAAAGACCGGTGCATACCCGCGAAAGCTGCACGAGCTCTTTCTCTGATCGTGAAATCAGAAGCACCACCGTAGCGCGCCGCTGGCCTCGCGAACGCCGTCTGTTTTCGCACCGAGGCGGACTTGCCCTCAGGGTTCCTAGTAGCCTTGAGTGTCGGCGTGCTGTAGCGCTGGACCGTGGGCGAGCGAGAGCTCTGAGCCCTGCTTGACGGTGTACCGAAGTCCTCCTGGTTCTTGATATAGGCTCGAAGAATAGCGAGAACCAGTTTTTGGATTTGCGTGTTTTCCTTTAAATCCACCTTACCATTCAAGCACAAATCCTCGTCGAGAGTGAGGATACTGTGACCTTCCGGAAAGATCTTGCCGAGCCCACTGCGACTGAAGAAGGCTTTTTTTTTTTTTTTCGGATTGCCGTCCTTGTTGAAACTCCATTCACGGTATACTGGATCTGTATTTGAAACCATGGGTACTTGGGCGTCGGGACACCCGCTTTGTCCTCGACCTTCCAATTCCTTCTCAGCAGAACCTGGTAATCGCAGCCCGGTGCCACAATAACGCCTCGGATACCAGTTAACTCATAAGTTCCCGGAGAAGGTCTCTGATTAACCAAGCGCTCGAGCCTCAGGTCTTTACAAGTGCTTAGCGATGCCTTCCTCGCCTCATGCACCCTGTTGCCATGATTGGGCCCAGGCTGATAAATGATCTTTGCCGCCTTGCCGACAAGATGCTACGTCCTATATCCAAGCGCAGCCTCACGGACTCCCATGGGCTGCTGCTTTCTTGTTGTGATGCCTGCCTGCGGGCGAGCTTCTGTCGGCCCACCTTCGGGTAAATCGCATTCCGCCTTACGTCATCGGTTTCTTGATGTTAGTGCCGATGTTCCTGTCTTATAATGTCTGAGCTAATAAAAGTCATAGTGAATACGCTGAATCTCTGTACGACCCGTAAATACCGTTATACGGTTCCTCCTAGAAAAGTACTCTTAGCCCACAGATATCCTCTGTAAACCACTGCCTTCGTATATTGCTCACTTTCTTAGCCGTAGTAACTCTTGCCTCTCTCTAAGACTGTTTATTTAGCACTATCTGCGCTAGTGGTGGGCGAGGCGCTTCTAGAAGCGTGGAGCGCTTAAAGTCAATCATTATAACCGTGCCCGTTTCTGAGTTAAATAACATATTCGTAAGTCTTATATCCTAATGGATCACTCCTTCGCTGTGTAGGGCTCGTAATGATTGTAAAGTGGCGCCTTCTAATACGCTATTGTCTGTTGTTGAATGTATTCTCTTAATGCTATACCTTCCCTAGGATAGAAATGTCATGTGTACTATATACACCCAGTGGTCGTAGTAGTAGGTCCTGTTTATTAGCTAAAGGTCGACCACACCTAGGAATATAGGCACGAACTTGCCCTGAATTAGTCTAAGGCGCTTATAAACTGCTCTTTTATGATTAAGATCTTTAATGAACGCCCGTATAGTGCCTTTGCTTATGAAGGTGTACCTGTATGCAAATAGGGATACCTAGAAAAGAACGCCCCACGTACTACCCACCCGTAGTGGGGTGATCCTATTATTAAGAGAGTCCTTTAGCTGCCTCTTAAGTAAGTGAAGAAACTCGTTGTGACTTACTAGGTGTTGACTTAGGCTGGTTTTCGTGTAGCCCTTATTATAGGATAATAGGTTCGGGCACTTTAGGTCTAGTAGTCGTCTATTAACCATTCTAAGAAGGCATTTCTAAGTGTAATACTACCGCTGTTGCTGGCTGCCCCCTCTATAAGTCTAATGCGCTAGTCGCTCACTTCACTGTGTCGTCTGCCTCACTCCTCGCCTAAGAGGCGTGGGGGTGTCCGGCGGCCTGGACATTGACTCGTTATCTAATGGTTCCCTATCTTTATGTCGTGTAAAGTGCTCATTAGGGTGATCCTAATAGTATTAATGCGTCTTTCTTTAGGATATAAGTGGCGATTGATCGACACCTTTATAGGTAGTCGGTGCGTAGTTGGATGAGCTGTCTGGCGCTGATCTTACGCTTGCTAGAATGGAACGTAACGTCGTTTTAAAGTCCTTATTCTACGTCTTTAGGCCTGTCTGAGCTCGGTCACGCTCGTCTTACCTATGCCCCCGTCTTTCTCTGGGGCCGTTGAGCGCTAAGAGAGTGAACACTAAGTATTGCCTGACAGCCGTATAGATGTGGAAATGGTTTAGGTGAGGCATCACCTCGTGAGTAGGTTTAGCTAGGTAGTAATATAGTGTTCCTAGATCGCCCTAGTTAACCTTAAGGAACACGATCGCTTTACTAGTGGTGAGTAGACTATACTCTAGACTACTCTCTATTATGTAATAATACGTTTGTGTAATGGCCGACGCTATTAGCCACTCTATATGATACTAAAAAAGCGTATTAGAGTCGGCGGTAGTTAGTATTATTTTTTGGTTTACTACCTCCTTATAGATATCTATATTATGTAAGCTAACTTAAAGGTAAGGAGTAATTAATTTATGAGGTGGCTTATACTTAGAAATATATATTATCGTCCGACGTAAGAGTGTAGTGTTATTAGATTAATAGACATATATCTAGTCTAGTCGTAACTTATTTAGATCTCGACGGTGGTTAGGCGTGCGGGGTGGCGCTGATGTTGTTGCTAGCGTCCTACGATTAATAACTTCATCTATAACCTCACTTAGCGTATAAGGGTGGTTCTTAAAGATAACGCTATCTCCTAGAGTAAAGGCCGCCCTAGTATCTTATACTATTTTGAGTCGTTCTATAATAACCCGGATAGGGTCCTTAACGCTAATATATAGAAAATATTCGAGAGTCTTCTTATCTTATACTAGCCGCTAAGATACCCTACTGTCTAAGCCTATAAGGAAGTTTCAATTCTTAAAAACGCGTTCCTTAGTAGGAAAGGCGTTGTATATACTACTAAAAACGAGCCTCTAGATGTTAAGAAAGTCGGACTATGACTATAAACTTTAAGGACACTACTTATCTTAAGGGTTAGTAATAGAGCCCTTTAAGGTGAGATTTAGGTCTATTTTAATAATAAACCTAGAATATATAAGGGAATGGTAAGCCGTAATATACTCGTTAAGTGTTGTGAATCTTATTTGTTCCTCTGCTATATTAGCGCGTTGTCGCTCTCCCTCGGCGTGTTGTCGCTCCCTATGCTGCCCGCGTTCTGCTTCCTCGGCGTGTTGGCGCTCTTTCTGTTGCCCTTTCTCTGCTTGGCACGCTTCTCCGCCTCTCGTAGAAGCTTTTTTAATTGTTCAGCATCCATCTAAGGAAGATTATTGGACGTTAAACTACCGGTAGTGTACTAATACAGAAGATGTTCCGAGAGAAAGTGGGCAGATCGGGTAGACACTAGCGCCCCAGTTGTAGCTGTGGCTTAGCCGGTCACGTTATTGAACCAACATACCTAACCACTTAGCAGCGATTTTTTTATGCGCATATGGCCTGTCATCACGGCAATGGATGATGCTACGCTGTTAGCTTTTTGATATGGCCTCATCTCTGAAATTGATATTACTATTCAGTCCTCCCTGTTGTGTATGTAATTTCATCATACGACCAACGCGGTGGCCAATGTAATCGCCTGATAGAGATCCACGCCGTCTAGCCACCGCCGTACGCTAATCACCCTCTTTTACGTGCTAGGCCAGCATTAATGAAGAGATAGTACCACCTCAGATATAATAATAGACCGGTGCGCATCGATCGATGCATCACACTCTACTGAAACTTTACTAAAATAGCAGAAGCTATGCGAGAGAGCTTCCTGCCATTACCTTACTAACGGAGACGTAAAAATAGACACAGTGTAGCTAATCAATATTAGATTTTCTATCTATAACAGTTCTGTAATAGAAAGGTACACAATGACTTCTTTCCGTCTACCTTATCCTTATACCCTAAGTGCTAGAGATGCCGTCGTCCTAAAGGGTAGATTCTACCTTAATGAGCTTTAGTTTATTAAACACTGCCCTTTTCTCCCTATTTTTCTTAGCCTTCTTACTATTAGATAAAACACTACTCCACACATCCACTAATTCAGGAGTCGACTCTATATGAGGCTGCTTAACTACCTACTCCGCCTTATAGATTAGATTATTAGTCTACAGCCTTAGGAGTAGAGCTATCGGCTAGGTCAACATCACTCCCCACTGTTACTGTAGAACCAGTGGTAGACTATTCGCTTCTAGTATCACTAAGTCGATCGGTTGTGTTATTACTACTCTCGTTTTCGTTATCTAGGGCTATAGAATATTAGAAGTAACTTAACCTAATAGGACTCTAGTCTTACTATTAATATAGAGTACTATAAATGTCTTATAAATTTCACTTCTACTACTAAGGACTTTTAGTTTTATCTTAAGATCCGTATATACTATATAACTCTCTTCTGTCTCTATAGTAATTTAGGTGATCTTAGCGTCCTTTATTATAAAAATAGACGTTAGATTTATAATTTCATTTAGCTTACCTAATAGATAAGCCTTAATGACTTTAACTATAACATCATCTATAAATCACTTTATAGTAACCTAGTTAAATATTAGTTAGTTTTACACTACTATAGGCGTGTGATAGTGTCTTACTTTATAGTAGGCATCTAGGTAGTTAAGTGCGTTAGAAGTAATAAAATAATCCATATCTACCTCCTATAGATTAAATAATCACTTAAGAAACTACCTAAAGTCCACTATTCTATTAATAGGTTCTAGATACTAAAGAAACCGCCCTAAAGTCCTCCTATATTAATATAGTAAGTTAGCACTTTTTATATTCCTTATAGATACTTTATAGAGTTTCTATAAAGTAGTAGTTATAGGTAATAGGGTGGCTAGTTTAGTGTGGCTTTAGTAGCCTAGAGAGCTTTTTATATAGAACCTTTAGTAAAGAATTTAAATATAGTTTAAAGATACTAACTAAAATTAACTTAACTATAATAGAGTTAGTAATATAAGTAATAAGGTGGTTTAATAATAGCTAAATCACTTTCTATACTTCTAAGATATAGTCCTTAGTAATCTTTCCCTATAGTAATAAGAGTTCCTTAAATAGCTCTATAATAATTATTAGGTTAAATATACTAAGTAGTTCTCTATATTAACCTTTCTAAATTACTAAAATAATTTTTTTAATGTATTTATCTTAAGTTAAGTAGTTATAGTGTCCTAACTTAACTTCCTTACTATCCTCTATAACTTTATATTACTAGCTATTACTAACTATTTTTTCTATAAAGCCTTAATTTAGACTCTAAACTATAGTATAGAGACGCTTCTAGTAACTAACTAAAGATATAGTATTACTAAAGTATAAGTTATTATATATACTATTAGCTATAGCCTAAAGTAAGGCTTAAAAGGCTTAACTAATCTAAATAAAATGTATTCTCTATTTATAAATAGTGTTTTAGGGTA